AACTGCAAGTAGATCTATAGTCTTTTTATTGTACTGTTGTCTTTTTTAAGCATTTTACGCACACTACTAATAATGTCTATGCTTTTTTAGCCAATTGTCAGGAACCTGTGTAGGCGATATTCTTCATCTCTGCGATTGACACAAAATCACAATTTATGTAGGAGTTTCCTTTCTGCAAACTTCGACAAACACTTCGTACTGCTGCTAAAGTACTTTCATTAATAATAAGTTATCCTTTATAAATATGTCCTGATGACAGGTGTACCTATATGCGAGAGTTGTCACTGTAGACGACTCACATTTACAAAAGTTTTTCCCCTTTGTGGGAACTATCCGGGGTCAACCAGCGTAAGGCACTGTTTTCCCTCTATAACCTTACCAACTTTATAGATCAGTATCTTACTTCTACTCTTAGTAATTAAATCTGCATGAATATGATCATAATTTACCTTACCCCATACTCTGGCAATACAGGTACAGATCCAAATTGTTCGATAACGTTTGAAAATTAAAAATATTAACAAGTAACTTAAAAAGGACAAAGACAGTGGGAAAACGAGCGTTACGCCGACAACGGGACATAATTCTTAGAAATGTAAAAAAAATCGTCTATTTATATTAATTATGCAATGACAAACTATTAGTCTATTACGCTTCCTTCTACTAAGTAAATCTAAAAAAAAAAAATCTTCTCAATCTTTTTTAACACTAGTAAAATGTAGCAGTGCCTAAATGGACTTGTTTTTCTCCATGTGACTTTCTCCGAAGGAGACTTCAACTGCGCAATACGATCGCTGTGCCTAAACACTGCATATATGCTGCATGAACAAATATACGCAAGGTAGTAATTATTCAGCTAAATCCTTTACTCTTCAAACCTTACAGAATGAAAACAACAATCAGCAATGAACACTTTTGTTTCAGATCAAAATTCGGTTACTTCTTCACCGTCCACATCAAAAATGGCTGAAGGAGTGAGCCTCGTTTTCATTTATTATGTACACCGCGCCCGATCGAAAAAAAAAATAAACAAAGGTAAACCTAATCCGTTATCATTTCGTACGGGCACAAACTAGACAAAATTGAATGCGCACTAAATAAGGTTGCTTGCATATTAATGTAACTAATCATGGCTCTGTTGCTTATGAGATCTAGAGAAGAAGATTTTTAAATTTTAAAGGTTTTCTGATGTATTCTTATTTAAAATTTACTCATCCATTACGGACCAACCCTTACCCCAGGGGTCATGATTTGAACAAACTTGAATCTACACCACCTGAGGATACTTCACTATGAGTCTAATCTTTCCTGGCCCAGTGGTTCTTGAGAAGAAGATTTTTAAAATACATCATTACTTTTTCACAAATTCCTAATTATCTCCCCTTGAAAGGGAGCATGGCCCCTCATTTGAACAAACCTGAATCCCCTTCACCTAAGGATGCTTTATTGCAAGTTTGGTTGAAATTGGCCCAGTGGTTCTTGAGAAGAAGATGAAAATGTGAAAAGTTTACGACGACGACGACAACAACAACGACAACAACGACAACAACGACGACGACGACAGACAACGGACAGATTGTGATCAGAAAAGCTCACTTGAGCCTTTGGCTCAGGTGAGCTAAAAACCCAATCCAATGGCCATGAATTTCACAAATCTGGTAAAAATACCTTAACAAATTAGCACTGTGTATTTAACTGCTGATACCAGGAACAGATATTTTTAACAATAGGCCCATGGGCCACAATGCTCACTTGAGTAACAGGCACTGCTGTTTTTCACTAGATTTCCCCCTAATAATATCCATTGTGACTCTACCCTACCCCCATAGGTCATGATTTGAAGAATTTAGAATGTACACTACACCAGGATGCTTTCACATAAATTTCAGCTTTTCTGGCCCAGTGAAGAAGACATTTTAATGACCCCACCCTATTTAAGTCTTTTCTTGATTATCCCCCCTTGGAAGGTGACTCGGTTCTCCATTTTAACAATTTAAAATTTTTTTCACCTATGGATGCATGCTTTGGTTAAAATTGGCCCAGTGTTCTTGAGAAGAAGTTGAAAATGTGAAAAGTTTATGATTGGACGGACACCAAAAAGCTGATTCAAAAACCTCACATTAAAATTAGCACTGTTCATGCAGGCTTCAGTTTGGTAATGCTACTTACTCACGTCATTAGTCATCAATGTCTTAGACTCACCATGTACAGTTTGACGAGCTAGATCTAAATTAAAGCCCTCACCAGTTAGAATATGTCCCATATACTTGCAATGTATCCCCTAAATGAATCCATATTAAGATGAAAATTCACAAAATTTCTAAAAAAATTTCCCGCTTCAAATTTACCTGCCATATTTACAACTTTACATTCGGAACTCTCTAGATTATTTGTAGTAAATGCAATGATTTCAAGTTATCACCCCTGAATTTTGCTACATTGTCAATACACAGAATGAATTCTATCAGTAAATCTAGTCCGTATAGTAGTACAGACAATATCATTTTAACTATAGAACATTTTGTAATTCTAACGATAGAACGTTTTATCTTCATGTTCATGTAAACCACACTAAATGTTGAATTTTTTAAAAGGTAAAACAGTACGATTTTTTTTTCTTAAAAAATTCCATTAAAACAAATCAAGGGGATACAATATAAGCTCATTATGCAACAACAGTCCATCATTGAGATATTTTTGCAATTTTAAATAACGTCTTTAACAGGTTGGGCACACACCACCAAATGGTCATTTAACCCCCGTTTGGTGGTCAATCGCCTGTATTGGAGTCGTTTTTACCTACCAAATGGTAGTTTTTTTAATTCAAATCCAATTTTTATCAATATAAAACTATGGAGCATTGGCAGAGGTATCGGAGAATTTTAGTAAACATATTTCTCAAACAATTAATGCAATTCAGTCAATTTTCCATGTGTAATTTCTGTCGAACTTCATAAAACGATACCCATAGCTGTCCGTGACAGCTGAACTTCTTGCTAAAGAATACGGAAAAATTTTTGTGTGTGTCTAGTTGGATAAAAATTACATAATTTAAACCAGTGATGTAACTTTAGAGAAGTGTATATTCAATCGATCTTTTGATCTTGCTAAAACTCTACAAAATCCCATTAAACACGAGCTCCTCGTATCTTATTGGTATGGTGGGCACTTACTGCTATAATATTTTTTTTTTACATTTGAATAAAACATTTAATCTATATTCTCTTTTTGGATGAAGTTAAGATTCCTGTGTGACTCTTTGTGGTTTAGTATGCATATTTATTTTGTAACTACTATATTTATTCCATGGTTTTAAATAAAAGATTTACAAAGAGCAGTTGCAATTATTCTTGTTTTTTATTCCAAGATTATGGTTTTTGAGCAATAATTTTATCATGAAACCACAGCATATCCTATTTTTATAGAGAATAAAGCCATTGCATACGAAATAAGCAAAAAAAAAAAAAAAAAAAAAAGAAAAAAAAAAACGAATTCTAATCTTAATGTGTATATGATTCTGTTACAAGTTTCTTGTTTTGGAATCATTTATATATAGTTGTCAAACATTCCGTTAAAGTTAACAAGAACATTCCTTTTATTTTCCTTATTGAAAGTTGACACTGATGTGCCTCTGTAGTTAAATTAGTCTTTTGATCTGGTTCAGAAAAGATCGTCATTTTTTATTGGTTTAAATATTAGGTGCAACAACATCCGAGAAGGAGGAAATTTTTATTTTTTAGTAAAAACACAAACACATTGCACTTGTTTACATAGGTGACGATTTGTCAAATATTTGAACGACACTGCACAACAAATTCCGCTTTGAATTTCCGATTTTTTTTCATTCAAAGCACAGATAAATATCTATATTATTTTATTCCCCAAGAGTTAAAATTACGCACCATTTCCCGCCATTCCATAGACCTGAACAAAACGATTTTTCTCTACCATTTGGTAGGTAAAAAACCACTCCAATATGGGCGATTGACCACTAAACGGGGTTTAAATGACCATTTGGTGGTGTGTGCCCAAACTGTTTAAAAATACACAGGTCCAGTTCAATCACTAGATTTAGCTACATAGCTTTATTTACCTACCTCAGGTAGCTTTATTTAGCTATTTTAATGAAACTTTTCACAATTTTTCTTTTTATTATAAAGAGACAAAAAATCGCAAGTATAAAAATGACCATTAATATTTGCACTAGGGAGGTTTAAAAAACAATCCAAAGCAGAGATAATTTATACATTGCTGCATTTGGACAATTTGGAGCAAAACATTCAATTCAATTGTGTGGTTAACTGTCCTCTCTATTGGGTGTGGTGAGGCATGACTGAGTATGATTACTTCACACTGTGCTGAATAATTACTGACCTATTATCATGTTAACCAGAACTGGACTTCTTTGTCATTTCATTCAAGGAGTTACTGTTGTAACTGTCATACATAGCCCCAAAACTTTTAAAACTTTGATTGCAATCGCACAGAAAAAGACAATTCTCCAAGAGTGATTTTTACATGAATTGTTTTCAGGTAAGTTCAAAGTTGAAAATTATCACTGCATCAAAATGAGATTTTCTGCACATCCTGAGAAAAATGTTTTTTGATATACATAAATTGATTTGGTAGCTAAATAAAGCTACCTCAGGTAGGTAAATAAAGCTAAGTAGGTAAATCAAGCTACGTAGCTAAATCTAGTGATTGTACCAGACCTGATATTCATGGCCAAGGTTACCCCATTTTTCATAAGTATATTAGCTTTTTTTCTTTTTCAACAATTTTTTTAAAATTCAAGTATAGACATTATTATTAACCATTATTGTAGGGAATATGATAAACCCTTCCAAATTGTACTACGCAGACCACAAACATCAATAAATTGATACATCCCGAATTTTCTCTACAAAATCTCAATAAAAAAGAGAATTCCTAATTAAAATGAATGAGAAACTTATTGAATCAAATTTTTGAAATGAGTATGAAATTATTTGCATATATACCTTCTCAAATTATCTCAACGGCGGTCACATTTTAACAATTTTTAAACTTGTTAAGTTTTTTTTCTTTCCACTGACTTCCTGACTTCCGGAAATAGAAATAGACGTAAATTACCTTAAAGGAAGTGAAAATTTTGGTCCAATCAGATCGAGGCTTTCAAATTTCTATGTCCTATGTTGCCAGGAACAACAACAGAACCAAGTTGGAAACTTGCATGTGCACATCTGAGTTGTTGTGTTAATATCCCGAGATGGTAAGTTTTTTATTGCATACCGTATACTTAATCATAGAAGTAAAAGTGGAGACCTTATTTCAAAGATTTATGTTATATCTATGGATTTTATACATAAAAAATGAGAGTTTTGCTGTTCTGTATGCCTGTGTTTAAGTTATCACCTATAGTGCAGCTTCTGCATTATAAACTGCCGACATTTATGTGTCTTGTCCCATAAAAAAATTAATTAAGTCATTTTTGAATACACTGACTTACAATCATATTACACACATGTAATACACATTTATAGTAGACTGTCAAATGTATCAAGTTAATTTAAACATCAGCTCTACATCCATAAAGGAGAATGCATACAAATCACTAGTTAGACCACAGGTGGAGTATGCAGCACCTGTCTGGGACCCCTACACCCAAAAGGATATCCATAACTTGGAGATGGTCCAACGACGTGTAGTTAGAATGATCTAACTGTGTCTCGGTACAAGCCCTCACCACAGTTAGAATGCGTCCCATATACTTGCAATGTAGCAAATCGGAGTGGATCCGCTCCGAAACGATTTTGAAGAATATAAAAGGATTTGCACTGGAAATAACTACCAAATTAATCAAAACAAACCTTTTTGAGATTGCTTATGCCTTTTATCCCAGAAAATAATCCATCTAAAGACGAAAATCCAATTAATTTTCTCAACGTTTTTTTCTCGCTTCAAATTTACCTGCCATGTTTACATTCGGAACTCTCTAGATTGTTCCTAGTAAATGCACTGAGTTATAGTGTGTACGAGTTATCGCCCATGTTTCTTTTGCTACATTACGAATACACGGAACGAATTCTATCGTTAAACCGGGTCCGTAGGACAATATCATTTTAACGATAGAACGTTCTATCTAAACGACGTGCTGCACGTTACGTAAGCAACAGGCATGGAAACAGATCAAGTGTGGACAGCATGATACAACATCTACAGTGGCAGACACTAGAAGAGCGTAGGCGAATCTCCAGACTTATACTATTCTACAAAATTGTCCATGACAAAGTTGCCATCACCAAGCATGACCGACTTATTCCACCACAACGTCGATCAAGACATACCCACCAAGAGGCCTACCAAATACCATCTTGCAAAAGTGACTATAGAAAATTTTCATATTTCCCTCGTACCATCAAAGAGTGGAACCACCTACCACCAGATATAGTCACGGCAAAAACACTTGAGACCTTTAGGTCTCAGGTGACCACCTATCTGCCTTTAATTATGATTACTATTTTAACCTTTTAAATTTTTATTTTTGGAAACTTCATGCGCACCACAAACATGCCATAATAATCAGCTAGTTGATTGTGGGCATTACCTGGCAGAAGCAGAAGCAGAAGTTATCTTGGAAGCACTGTCATCTGCATTTTAAATTAGGTGCCTAGGCATATATCAACTTACATGTATCAAGCATGTATCATTACATTTAGTGATTACGTTCATAAACAGATTATTCAATTAAAGTCAATTGACCAAGCCATGAACAACTTAACTGCAATGGTGTGTGCAAACAAATTTTCATAAAGCGCATTACCAGTATTCTCTTTTGAGAAGTGGACAGGCTTTCGCCTACAGGATGTAGGTGAAAGCCTGTCCACTCCTCTAAAGAGAATAGCCATGAACTATGTGTCAGTATAGCAAACCTGTTTGCTGTGCTCATGGCTTAGTCAATCACAGGGGCATCTTATCCACTCTGTTCTCTACTTCACATATAAAAATACACAAGCTATGTGTATATAAGATGCCCCTGTGAGTCAGTTGAGTGATTTCTATTGACTTTATTCATTAAATTTTGAAATCTTGTGAATTATTGTTACCTGGGAAATATTATGTTGATAAAAAATAGCCTGTATATCCTCTTTGTTTATTAACACAGGAGAGAGATGGTGAAGAAAGATTCTGCTTTATTGCAGAGTGGTATGATCCACACGCAGCCTTCATCAGGAGATACCAGTTTATGTATTATGTTAAAGATGGCACAGTGGAAATGGTAATGATGCCAGACTTTATAAGTAATAAATTGTAAAAAAAAAAAATCGAATAAAAACATTGGTAAAGTTAGAATACATCAAACTTTTTAAATGTCACGTGTGTTTTTCAGTTTGACATAAAGAACCACAGAATGTTTCTGAAGAAAACTCGCATAGAAAGCATTAATCCAGAAGACTTATACATTGGGAACACCGTGAATGTTCTATCCAGACAGATGAACTTCGTTGACTATGGGGACGATTTCACCAGGTCACGTCTATCACATAAAAAAGAAAGGTTAGTATAATCTTGGCAAAATTATCATGATTCAGTCAGTACTTTACAGATTTTGCTCTTCAGACATACTTATTTTAATGGTAGTGTCGTACCGGTAATTGTATTTTAGTTAGCACCTTTTGTGCCGCCTTTAGGCTACTATTTCAAGTACATGTATATGCTAATAGACAAATGATTGAAACAAAGTCTTGAGATTATTGGATCCAAATGTGGCAAATCCTGATAATGGTTACTAATTGAATTATGAGGAAAAAGACTAAATTTGAGTGCAATAATTTTATGTACTTTTAAACATTTATAAACTACTTAAATGGAAAAAAAAATTACATGTGCTAAAATATTGAAGCTTATATATTCCATGCATTTTTTTTTACTATGTAGTCAACAGTTGATAAATTGATTTACATATACTTATTTCAGAACTCTTGGAATGATAAAGCCAGATGCAGTTTCAAAAATGGGACAGATTTTAGATGTTATTTGTCAGAAGGGTTTCTTGATCACTAAATTAAAAATGTGCCAACTGAACAGAAATGAGGCCTTCCAGTTTTATCAAGAACATCAGGGAAAACCTTTCCTAGAGTAAGTAACATATAGACTTTAGGCTACATAATTTAATTTCCTGGTTCTCAGGCCAATTTTCTGTAATACAGATGGGAGAGGGAGGGTTTTTTTAAAATTATCATTTTATTGGTGATGAAGAAGATGAGGGAGGTAAAAATTCTTTGTTCATAGATATACTTTCCATACTTTCTATTCTATGTCTGATCAATAGGTTTGCATTTATATCTGTTGCTTATCAAAGTGTGAACATTGTAAGCATTATCTTCGAATGTATTTTTAAACAAAGACTCCTTGAAAATGGCTACTGGAAGCAATATTTGAGTGCTAACCTACGAAATAATGAGGGCGAATTTTTTTTCTACATTTGGTCTCTGCATGACCAGCTTTTTATTTTATCAAAAATACGATAAAATTTGGAATGCAGATTCCTAAAAATGGATGGATGCCAGCCTGAGAACCATAATTTCAATTTTATGTAGCTTTTACCGCAAAGCAATGTACAATTTAAAAATTCAGAATTTTCATAGACAAGATTTAAAAAGGCTAATAGACACTACATGTCTATGGGTTTTCATTGATTGGGTAGGTGATTTTCAATTTTTGAGTAAGGAATGATTTCAAACATCAATTTATTGTTATGAGTAATCTCTTTAAGCAGTAAACTGTTTTAAACTTTTGCACTGGACTTAGAATTGTTCTGATTATATATAGATATAAATACTGAATATTTTATATGTGAAAAAAAAAAATCAAATTCAATAGTGCATTCTGATTTATTATTTTTAATGTCATATCTTTTGGCATACCAATTAAATATTTTACTTTACATAAACACATTCATGTATGAAGTACATTTAATAACTGAGATATAAATGAATTCCTAGACCAAATCAAATATGAAATAATTAATTTGTATTCTGTCAATTATTCATTCTTTCAAGCACATATCATTTTCAGAGTAAAAATGTTGTTTTGTAGTACCCTCCTTAATTTTGTGACCAGTGGGCCGGTCATCGCCTTTGAGCTGATGGGGGAGGGCTGTATATCAGCCTGGAGGGATGCCTTAGGCCCCACTGACTCCGCCTTAGCCCGCTCACAAGCACCCCAGTCAATCAGGGCCAGGTTTGGCAAAGGTCAGATTCTCAGGTTCAATAAAAATTAAAAAAACAAATTGTTAAAATTGGGAGTGTTTAAAGGGAGATAAATCTTTGTTTATTTGAATTGAGGAATGAAATATTTTGTAATGTTTGATTATATGTGTGTAATTTTGTTTATACCATATTGTTACAGATAAAACACAAAATGCCTGCCATGGCTCAGATAGCCATGCTTCTGCAGCCAGAGAGCTGGAATTCTTTTTTCCCAGCAATGGCCCCTCTCGACAGAACACTGCCAAATTCACAGACTGTACATGTAGTGTCATCAAGCCTCATGCTGTAAAATCAGGTCAGTGAGAATTTAATTAGGAATCTGACATACATTTGTTGTATCTTTGCCAGTTAATTGAAAGATTAAATTATGGTGGTAAAACAGATTCAATAACTGTATAAGCAGAATTTTTAGCCAGATATGATTTTGGCATTATTAGCTAGGGTGCTGAGATAATGCTAAATTTGGATATCACTGAAAATGAATTGTTTTTTTTATTTATACAGTGCAATAGCTTCTTCATTTTGAAATCGCTAAAATTACATCTTTCAGAAATAAAATACCAGTTTTTTTAATAAGGACAAATCGTTAAATTGTGTCTTGCTAAAATTTCCACTTATACAGTACTCATGTCCAAATAACTCAGGAGAGAACAGGTCTGACTTGTGATCTCCTGGGCTAAGGGTTCAAATCCAAGTCTGGTCCATTGCACCTTTCTACTCTCTAATTAATAAAAACATAAATTGACTCCCAGCTTACAATTTGCAGAGCATCCTTAATTTATAATACATTGTGTTTTGTAGGTTTGGCAGGAAAGATAATAAGCAGCATCATGGAGGCAGGATTTGAAATCTCAATGATTGAAATGTTTCACATGGAGAAGGCTAACGCCGAGGAATTTTACGAGGTTTACAAGGGAGTAGTACAGGAATATGGAGCAATGGTGGCAGAGTTGACATCAGGTCCTTGTATTGCCATGGAGATCCGGGCCCAGAATGCACCACAGGCTTTCAGGGAGATGGTGGGACCTTCTGACCCTGTAAGTTATTCAGCCACTTTCAGACATGTAGATAAATGATATGTAACATTTAATGTTAGTGCCATGGAGACCAGGTTATAATGAATTTTTGGTTTCGTCCAATAACACAGAGAAATTTTAGTTGAAGTTGACAAAATAAATACTGCTGAATCATCAATTTGTAGGGTTCAAGTTTGAGTGAAGCAAAATTTAAGTTGTTACCAAAGGTGTAATTTCTGAGGTTGAATTTACACAATAGATTCAATGAATCATCATGTTTACCAAAAAGAAAATGTACATCGACATGAAAATTCTTGGGTAAGACCTGATGACCCATGAAATTCATGAACATTGGTTCCCCATGAATGATGCATGATTGCACTGTATAGGTCAACTGATGGATTTAAATTTAGTGATAAGATATTCAAATAAATTATTGCCAGGGTGGTACACATAATTGAGAAATTAAATGTTTTTTACCACTTCCTTCCGCAGGAGATTGCTCGACACCTTCGACCCCGTACTCTGAGAGCTCTATTCGGAGTCGACAAAGTCCGCAACGCAGTCCACTGCACAGATTTACCAGAGGATGGATTACTAGAGGTCAGAATATTATCAAATCTGTAATCCTTAACATATAATAAATATATTTGTTAATGTCATTGTACTTTGATATTAAAACATATATTCCATCATTCACAGGTTGAATATTTCTTCAAGATTCTTGGACGATGAAAAGTTCTAAGCCTCTCTCAACTTTTTAGTGAATTGATTCATAAAGAGACAGTGGAAGGACCATGTTTTGTGCTATTGACAGCATCAGTGATGAGAAGTTTATCAAAACTGTGATAGTTCTATGGCAATGTGACTATTCTCATTTCATTTTAAAAAAATACTTATGTACTATAATTATATATATTAAATTCTTAATCAAAGGTTTCTTTTGCAATAATTTAATTTTGCTTGTAACACATCATTTGATTGCATGGATAAAAGATTTTAGTTCAAATGGTATAACATATGAAGTTTCCTACGTCAAAAACTTATTATTCCGATTGAGGTTACTTTTACAATATGCTCAATTTGAAGCCATTTTTAAGGAAAAATTGTCATACTGTCTACACTGAATGATGAAAAAATTAAATTGTAAGGAATTAATTGAGTAGTTACTCAAGTTTTTTAAGGAATAACTGTCTTATTTTTCAATTTCACGATGTGATCGCCGAAGGCGTGTATGCATAAAATTCACGCAAGTCAATCGATTGATCATCTTCATGAAATCGAAAAATCTGACGATTATTCCTTATATTTACATGCTCTTGATTCTGCCAATCCACGTGCTACAAGCCCTGCATCTGTCTAGCTATTTGTCCCACCCTGCACATGATTTTTTTTAACCAAGCCTATTGATGAACCAGTACATTCATGTAGAAATAAAGTACATTAACTATTTGTAATTTTATCTCGGACAAAGACATTGGAAATGTAATTATACTGATATAACATGGATTGGAACAGTTTATGTTTTTTTATGAACCCATGCTATATTGTATAACTTGGGAATCTATTAAATTCATTCCTTAATTAGTTTTATTCTATTAACCTAATAAGCACATGGAAGTACATGTAGGTTCAATTAATGCACAATTGGCCCAATCAATTTTACAATTAATGAGTTTACACAAATCCCATCCCATTTGTAATAATACTGTAAACCAGCTTTTATTCGCTTGCAATGAATATATCAGTTCTGCCACCTTTTTGCACTGCGAATATTTATCACTGAGAATTATTAATTTTGCTGTATAATTTACAGAATTTTTCTAGATTGCCAAAATAAGTTGTCATGGATTGATTTTAAACTGCAGAATTGCGAACGAAAGTTAACACGAATAATAAATGCTTTCAGAGTAATAGAAACCCTTCTCTCTGAGATAATTTCTTAATTTAAAGCTGTACACAATTTTTAAAAGTTCTTTGTCCAACACATTTCTCATCATTGACCACGGTATTATTTCTAGAGCCCCTCACTTGGTACTGCTTCAATGTCATAAATTATGCTATTAAGAATTCCTTGTGTGGACATATCCTGGTAACATGTTGCACAAGTGAATGCAGAACAACTGAACATGCTAAATGCCAACCCAGTGCATTATTCATAAGCTCATTGTTGTCAATATAATGCAATTTTCCAGAATGCAATCAGGTATACATGAGTGAAAAATTCTTGAATGGGATGTAAAACATCACACAATCTCTTTTAAAGCATGAATAGTACTTTTTCTTGCATAAGCCAAATCTGGAAAATGGATCCACTCTTAAAAACATAATCCTGGGTTACCTACAGCACGAGTGGCTAGTATACAATTTTATTAACATTACTTTGTCAAATTCATGAAATGCTTCCTTTCAGCATTGGTTGCATAGTTCTAGTTATTTCTTTGCACAGTCTTAACTATGCAAATACTAGTAGGTCAATTTTCCATAGGCTGCCCTGTAATCCACATGAATTGTTTTCAAATAAGAATACATTCAAGTTGATTTAATAAGTAAATGAACCAACTATTAACTTCACATACTGTATTGTTTTTGGTCTAGGTTACTAAAAATAGATATAGCAGATAACTGCAGGTATAACTTTACCTGTAATTAATTCAGAGATGAAAAACTACAAGTCAACATTTAAAGATTTTATTTGAACAACCACATTCAAAACTTGTTTTTGAATAGTCTGAGCTGCAGGTTTACAGGTTAATTTCCCCCCAAATATACAGCACAGCACAAAAAAAGACAAGAAAAAATAACTAATACAAAATATGCCGTCCCATTCTGAAACACCCTCTCCTAAAAGTTAACTTCTCTCATACACATTCGTGGGTTTTATACATGACATGCCAATTCATTGTACAGGATTATTTGCTGTGAAATGGACAAAGAATCATTACAAATGGATACCGAGACTTAAAATACTTAAGAATAAATAATTTTCTGCACTCAGAATCTGACTTTCTCCTGTTCTCTGTTTTGACTCTGACATACACAATGTACACAAGACTAATGATTTGTTTCTAATAGTACCAGGTACAAAGAAATATTTACTGCCAAATCAAGATTACAAATAAAAATATCTGGAAAAAGTTCAAAACTCTAGCATTTAGAGATAAAAATGAGAAATACAGTGTATTATTTTTACTTTGTGGCAAACAGAATTCACATTTCCACATAAAGTCAAGAGATACCAAAATACCAGTAACTCACATATAACTATGAAGATCAAATGTACTCAAGAAAACTGTATATAATTAAAGAATCTTTACTGAAAACCTAGCAATTTACAAGGCCCTCCTAAACCATCATTTAAAATTCACCCTCTGCCAAAATTCCCCCACACTCATCAAAGAACATGCACATGTATACTAATTTCAGCTACCCTTATTTTTTTCTTTTGTAAAATTAAGTCATTCATACATCACATTTTTAAAATAAAAAAAAAATACTGAATAAATTAATGTGTAAATCTTTATATAAAAAAGATTGCCATTGTGACTGTAAAATGTCTGTGATATAATATTATATAAAAAAAAAAATTGCACATTATTTTTTTTTAAACTTCAAATTTGACTCATCACAGAAAACTTGCAACAAGGATGCAAACATGCACCAAAATCATCCTTTGCTCCCTCCATTTCTCATAAGGAAGCACCAAGTCATAAAGGCAGCACCAAAAATAAAAATTAAAAAAAAATTTGACCTAACAATAAAGATACATGTACATGGTAAAACATATCTATATATTAAACTCGAATATTTTTTTACACGGGTGAATATGATTATGAGGAAACCTGTATGGCAGAGGATGAAAGCCCTGGTTTAATAATTTTTAAAAAGCCTCGCAAATACTGCTGTTCCTTACCAATACTGCATGAATATCATATGGATACATTGTGAAAATAGACACATACAAAACAAAAAGTTTAGTGACAAGATTATTATCAATGGGAAGTCGAAAAGATAAAATGGTCAAGAAAATCTGAATGAAAATAATGTGAGACCCCATAAATATACACACAGGAAACTTGAACACATTTTGGAATGTCTTTTACAGAATAGTTGATATCATTAAATACCGTGTATATATACCTCTGGATCCCTACAAGTCGTGTAATAAAGCATTTCCTATAGGAAATTGTTTGGCACATTGAAGAGATATATGGAAAAGCATGCATTAGGCATGCACCAAAAATAACAAGCACATCCGAACTGATTGTGTATCATACAATTTAACATTTGCTTAGGAGGAATAAACATCCCCCATATAGAGAAAAAAATACACATCAATAAAGTTTCAATGCAATTCAATGTGCACTGACTTTGGAAATGTTTACAATTAAGCAATAGCCTTCTTGTACAACTTCAAACTGTCAAAGTTTTATCACCATTACCGATGTTTTCAACAAGATACAGTATAAAACAGCACCGAGACAAACATCAAATTACGGAAACCCAAAACTCTTTTGTTCAGATCAGCTATCTGTACAAAAAAGTATCTTTGTAGTTTTGATTTTAAAGCACAAGATCTTTTCTTTAAAAGTATGAACTATAATCTATTATCTCTAAAATATAGACTTCAAAAACAAGGGATCCAGAGAATTTAAGATTAAAAATCATGTTCCATTTAAACAAAGTTAGGAAAATTACAATGTAAGAATAATAACAAATATTTTGTCAATAATTAACATTCAGAAAAAATAAAAAATACACAACGAAGGATGAAAACATTTCTATTATGTATTTGTTCTGGGACTATTAATAGCAATAGGTCAAGATATTGTATAAAAGCTCCAATGTCTGGATATTAAGGTTGACAGGTCTAGGCTTGTGGAAAAAACACAAACTCTGCCAAAAATCTCCACAACAAATACTTGAGAAACAAAAAACTGGCACATAACATGTCCTCTCCCCATAAGATGACCTTTTGAAAGACGTGGTTCAATCATTAAAATACGGATACAATTGCTATTTGTGACGCTAGTCGTTCAAACAAACATTTTTATGCTAGATCAAAGTGCCCTTTGTAGATCACTCTTAAATTAAATGTCCATAACATGTCCACAACTCAACTCCACATTTTTTTTATGATAGACTAAAGGATAAGAAAAAAATTCCACTTTCTGTGAAATACTATCTACATGTAATCAAAACATTTAATGAAGAAGGGCATATCCATTTGCAGTCAAATTTGTCAAAAGGTGATCTGTCAAACAGATCCATACACATTACATAATGCACCATTTAGCAGCTAAATGTGGAAATGCATGCACATCAAAAGTTCTTTAACAATATACATATAGAAAATTGGATGCTATGGCCACTGTACCACCACTTTTTATACAGAAATACACTACATGTGTACATTTAAGAAAACAAAATAACAAAAAAGTATATATCCATCATATGGTGGTACTCTTATCTTTTTAATTTTTCACGTTTCCACATCCAGCATAAAAAAAGGGGGCAAGATATATGACTTACTTGACTAGCATCACAAATGTGTTGACACATGTACATTAAAACCCCATTCTTTCCCACAGCATCAGATTTTAATTAAAAAAGGTCAAAGTCCTTCCTCTAAAAAAATCAAATGCTGTATCAATTATGTTCTCAATTACAGGAACATACTACTTATATATGTTAATCTGGATGAATAATTTCACCAGCTTTCATTTTTCATAAATATTGAAGTAAAAAAAAAATCTATTAAAGTGAACCTGTCTTCCTTTGATTCCAATTTCCAAAAATAACGTTCTTCCAAAAATCTACATTTGGAAACAGGACGGCATCATAGCAAAAAATATTGGAACTACAAGACTACAATATTCAGAAAAATCTTACAATAGCTCATGGTAATATACAATAGAACCAGCAAACATCTCTCTCCCGTTTGCAGTGCAGTAGCATTTTACATTTAAGTTTCTTCATTACTAAAATACTGGAAAAGTATGAACTTTGTAAAAGTGAGTAAATACATGTACCACTTACAATTGACACTATTAGTCCATGAATATAATTGATCACAATGTCAGCACAAATACTTTCCTTTAGGGGTTTTTCCCCTAAAAACTTAATAATCTAGTTAAAAAGTGTGGACAAATGGGTCTATCAACACTTACAACAGATCTTAATGCACGAAAAGAAAAAATCAAAATATTTCCTGATAATTTTATGTAATCATCTTTCCCCTCCTAGAGTATAATAAAAGTAATTAGGGGGGAAAAAATAAAAAAAATGTTTCGTCTCAAAAGTCTGCTTGACAATTGTTCACTACTTGTAAAACATTTCAAGATAAATTTGTAAGAAATCAGTCATCTGCCATTTTTAAAACAATGACACAACAATGAACGATATGTATTCTTGGTAACAAATGCTGACATTGCTAAAATGTGAATTTAAAATAGGATTTATGACACAGTTCAACGAGGGCTCTCCAAACACAGTTATCTTCTGAGACCAACACCATCCACTTGAACAATCCTAGCTCTCGTCTCACTGCAGTTATCTGAACTCATCTCCACAGGCTACAAGACTGCCTTCTAAAGCCTTGAATTTAAATTTTAAGGGGGCTGGTTCTACCATATTGTCACCCTGCAAAATGTACAACAGTGAAATAAACAAAATGTGGTTGTTGCTTGCTGGGCTCTTCAGTTGCCCCACCAGTCTGGGGCGGCACTGTTGCTGGGGGCATTGTAGGCCCCACCATAGGAACCACCATAGTTGCTGTACTGGTTGGCCATAGGATTATAATTGTTGCTGTATCCTCCCCCACCCTGCTGCTGTTGCTGCTGAGATTTGGGTTTGTTCTGCTGTCGGTAATCTCTTGATCCAAATCCAGAATTGCCGAATCTACAAACATCAAAAACCTTTTGGTCTAAAACCCAATCTTTGGCTTTGAAAACATCAAAGTACATGTATTTTTGTAGTGTATGACACAGAATGAAAAGAAATTTTTTATAAGGCCCCCATATTTCTATGTAACGCCCTAATTATCATACTGCTTAATGTAACAAAATGGACTGACCTTCTTCCACCTCCCCTTCTGGAACTTCCAGTGGGCCGAGCTTCGTAAGCCATGGACTCAAGCCATGATGGAACTTCCTGATGGGCCTCCACAAGTAAATCCATGAGGTCCCGCACAATGTTCTTGTTCTTTTCATTGAAGAATGAGGTTGCCAAACCTGAAAGATCAATTTCAATATAAACCAATTCTAATCCAACTAACTCAGTTTTCATAACATATATATGTATGATTCAACCTCTTTCCAACTATTGAATATGTCTGTAAGTATACAAGCCATATAATATAAAGGTATTAAACATGTACATGTATTTGACATATACTACATCATTCTGGCAGAGAAATTTTTTTTCAAATCATACACATAGATGCATCACATTATAGGATGTGCTCAATTTAGTGTAAAGGGGCTGAGTGGAATACACAGCTGACAAAAAATACTTTAAAGTGCTCGACTGTACTCACCCAGATTTCCTACTCGACCAGTTCTTCCAATCCTGTGTACATATTCCTCAATGTCACTTGGCAGATCAAAGTTCACAACATGTCTTACATTCTGGATATCCAAGCCTCTTGCAGCCACCTGTTTTTGAAAACAATTTTTTTGTAAGTCCAAGGACTATTAATTTTGAATTTGTTTATAATGTTCTACCAATTAATTTTGGTGCTGTGGTTCTCATAATGAAAACAACATACAAGCGAGGACAAGGCATTCAAGACTTGGTCTTTGTACTGGCATATAAATTATCCCTCAATATTGTATAACTTCCACATCCAAAGCCCTTCTTATCAAATATTTTAACACATACTGATGCAAATCAAATCATGGGTAAGTTCATTTTACATAGACACCTGTCTGCAAACTTGTTCCATTCTCTGAATCTAAAACTCCTTTTCCTACAAACACTTTCCTGATCCCACCAAATATTTCTACACTTACAGCAGTAGCTACAATGATGGGCCTGTCCCCACTCCTGAACAGCCTCAGAGCCTCTTCTCTCTCCTTCTGAGAGCGGTCACCGTGAATACTGGTGGCGGGATACCCCTCCCTGATCAGGAAATCCTCCAGGGAATCGGCGCCCTTCTTGGTCTCCACAAACACCAGAGTCAGTGAGTCGGGACCTGCTGCTGCATTCAATAGATCCAACAGGAAGGAACGCTTCTCCATTTCTTCCACCCACACCACTTTCTGGGTAATGTTCTCACTGGTGCTGCCAACTCTTCCAACAGCCAAAAATATGTAGTTGTCCAGGAAATCTCTGGCCAGCATCTACAACAGAAATCTAAAGTATGAAAGGCTTCAATGGCATTGAATATGAAAAAAGTTTGTTTTCTAAATTTTGTAAATATTAAATTTTGCAAAAAAATGTCACAATCACAGTTTTTTGGCTTGACGAAACAAGGTTCAAATTAACCAAGAAAGATGGGATAATCTGCAAGACTGGCAAAACTACCTTGCATAAATTATCTCATGTTTTCAAATACACTGACATCCCTGGAATACCCAACAAATATGATCTGACATAAAAATATTTGGATTTACAGTACAACTTGGACTTCTATAGAGAAAAAAAAGCTCACCTGAATTTCCTTGGGGAATGTGGCACTGAACATGAGAGTCTGCCTTACACCACTTGGGGGCATGTTATCCTTCTCCACAATGCGGCGGATCTGGGGTTCAAATCCCATGTCTAACATTCTGTCTGCCTCGTCCAATACCAGGAACCTGGTCAGTAAAAATTGTGTGTCAGAAAGGTATAGAAAACATAGTCGTGCGTCAATCAAAAAGAATATAAAAGATGAATAGAACAATTGAATAATTCTTTTTGTCATAATATTTTTCTTCTTTTTAAAATTAAATTTGATTTCTTTTATGCAAGAATTGAAATACATGTATTGTAAACAGAATACACAAGTACTTCTTTTATCATTTACATCAGTCTACTTACTTGCAGTGCTCCAGTCCGAGCTTGCCCCTCTCCAGCATGTCTACCAGTCTTCCCGGGGTAGCCACCAGTAAATGACACCCTCTGTCCAGGTCCCTCATCTGGGCCCCAATATCAGCCCCTCCGTAAACCACACAGGGTCTCACACGGGAACGATAGGCAAACTAACAATAAGACAGGAAATTGTACTTGTGCGAGTTACAGAATTGTATTGTGGGTAAAAACAAAATGGTCAACTTGACTTCAAATATTATTTTCTCATTAGCAAAATACAAACCTTCCTTGCTTCATCAAAGATTTGGTAAGCCAGCTCTCTGGTAGGGGCCAGGACAAGGGCCAGTGGATACTGTTTTCTGCGTCCATACTGTCTTGACGAGGAAACATTCTACAAAAATCAGGTCAAAGAATCCATAAATACATTTCTAATTTTCATCCTTAGGTTTGAATACAAAATGTCAAATTACTTCAGCAAATTATATTATTTCAGAGCTCTTTGATATAGATGTTAGTTATTCATAATAGATTTAATCCCAGGAGTATTTGTCATTCAGCTACATGTATTTTCCCCACCAGCTGTAGCACATTTTGAACTGTGCATTTTTATGTGATAAAAATTAAATCTTTTCACATAAATTTTAATCTTTAACAAAATCTGTACAAGTATGCAGCATTTATTTGATTACTTACAGCTGATTCCTCGGGTCCATTTTCATAGACTCTGTTTAACACTGGGACCAAGAAGGCAGCAGTCTTCCCAGAACCTGAAACATACAAACAACTTTTAAATGGACCATCACAGAAAGAAGTTCCCTAGGATATTGTGCACATGTATTTCAACAAACCAACAATATTCAATAGAGTCATAATTGAAATCTCTTAAATTTGCAGGACATACATGTACTGTAAACCAACTTTTATTGGCATGCGAGAAATTTTCGCGAAGTTCGCAAGAGGCTCGTCATCATATTTCTCTCCACAAACCGGTCCTTAAAGTTTGTCTATTAACAACAGTTCCAAAAAGGCTTGATCTCTAAAATTAATCATCGCGAACTAGTTTATCACAGTTAATCGCGAAATAAAGTCGTTATGAATAAAAGTGGTTTACAGTATACATGTACAAGCACTGCTTCAGTAAGAAAATTTCTTCGAAAATTAATTAATTTTTTTTTTGCTGCTCAAGAGACATGTAATGTTTATGAAACATAACAAAGTATCATACATGTATGAGATAAATCAATAAATGATATACAGTAGAACTCGTTTAGTACAAACATGGATATAGCCAATTCACGGATATAGCGAAGTTTTTCCGAGTTCCCCGCAAAATTCTTAACAAATCTTTGTAAATTTTAGGGTTATAACGAACTCTGATATATAACGAATTTATGGATATAGCGAAATGATTTTGAGTCCCATTGAGATTAAATAGAATGAAATTTACATCTTTCATAACGAACTTTCAAAGAACCGACTTAACTTTCTTTTAGCATTTGTATATAAAATTCAATTCATAATCAAAGGCCTGAAGGGCCTGTGAGTTGACTCGCTCGAGTTAATTGAGCTTTTTCATACATCTGGACACCATACCTTATATTCAGTTTATTTTGCATCTTAAGAGACTGAATATTATATGTCTCCTGATGTTCGGTTCAAAAATAAAGTGTATATTGTTGCCTTATATATACAGGTTGGCACTAATGGGCTTCCGTACATATTATTGTGAAAAACACCACTGCAAACCTGGATAGTATAATGAATTTAAGCACACTAGCTGCAGTGGTCAGTGTTATGGAGTAATTAGTTTAAAGATTCCCACAGCAAATCTGGATTCTAAAAATAGATTTTTCAAGCACACTAGCTGCAGCTCATGAGAGCAGCAGGTGTTTGCATTAGGGAGTATTCTAGGTCAATTATAAATAAACTTCAGATGGGAAGATTAGATCCGCCTAACATACTTGAACATATATTCATACGCAGTAATTGTACATCGTACAGATATTTAAACAAAAATTTCTTTAAAAGCATGAAGACATAAATAATGTAACAGTATTAAATTTAATACAGTTTTTACCTTTTAAGTTTATACAATCACTCAAACAACAGCATTTTTTGCTAGGACTATCATATTTGGCGTATGGATCACCTTGATGAATGCGTGATAAATTTTACAGCTCTGAAGCGGCTGTGTCAACAAGGAGTAGCTCGCTACGCGAGCCAACTCAATAAAACCTTAGTTATTGAAAGTATAGTTTGTAATACATGTGTTTGCTTCCATAACATATTTGATAGTAACACTTGAAGGAAAACATGCATATTGCGAATTCGCTATATATGGTTATATAAATTCGTTATATGGATATAACGAATTATGGATATAGCGAATTAAATTCACGGATCCCTAGACTTCGCTATAACCGAGTTTTACTGTACAAGCACTGAAGATGATACCATAATATACCTGTAGTAAAGCCCTGTCCTGTTAATTCTTACCTGTCTGAGCACAGGCCATTAAGTCCCTCTTATTCAGAACGATAGGAATGGCGTATTTCTGTACTGGAGTAGGCTTGGAGTAGCGACTCAGCACTATGTTGTTTCTGATAATCTCTCCCAAGTTACATTCCTCAAACTGAAATACACAAAAAATGACATTCCCTTAGAACTCCAAGAAGTTACATTTCAATTTTCAAATACATGTACATGTACTTTCAAAATAAACAAATGCCACATTCCGTTACAAAATTGCTCCTGGTGATAATTCTATACAAATATGAACTTTTCATAGGGTCAGACACTGCCTGATCAAGGTTATAAACCAGTAATTGGTAAAAGTTTTTAACCAATAACTGACAAGGTCCATATAGTCTGGACCAATCAGGTAGCAATAAAACTGCAGATCAACTGAAAGTCATAAATCCGCATTTACTTACAGTCTCTACATTTTTGGGGGCATTTTCTCCCGTTGCCTCCACAGGAATATCTTCATATTTGTCAAAGTTTATGCCAGTATTTCCACTTCCAAAGAGCTCTCTTAAAAGACAACAGAATGATGAATCATTAGTCAAATTTTGAACTCTTGTTGGAAAAATTTGATACAAAAATATCGTAAATTTTTTTTTGTAGGGAACCAAATTATATGTTCACAAATAAAATTGAAAGTGTAATGTGTTATCATAGGAAAATGAATCTGACAAAATGATGAACTCTTATAATTGCAGTTCTGAAACATTTTTATCTAAAAAGAATTCCAATCTAAAATATTGTTTTGTTTGCACAGCTATCAATATCAGCCAGATGATGTATAAAATGAATACAAAATTGTTCAGTGCTGCAAGTTTTCCTTACTCTTCCATTCGGGGGTTGGGGGGCAGTGGAATAGTCCAGTTTTCCTTTGTAGTCTCCTGGGGGTACTTGCCCCCGGTATTGTAGTCAGTTCGATTGTCCCATCTGTTATTTGTGCCGAAGTCCCCCTCACTCTGGAATCTCTGGTTGTTGAAGTTGCGATCATCTTCCAGGTTATCCCAGCGTCCCCCAGAACTTGGAGGGGCACTACCTTGTCTATTGAAGCGATCACCATCTCCATAGTTGTTGTATCTGTCCCCTCCTCCATACCTAAAATGTCAAAAATCTTTTTCCATATTTGATCATTTTTTTTAACTAGAACTGTCCAATAGGGACAAATACCCCCCGCTGGGTTTTTCAGAGAAGGTGCCAAATCAAAAATACTTTATGGATCTTAAGAGGTGTTCACAATTTACTTACAAAAATTTGCAGTGAAATATAATTGCTCATCATGTTTTTTAATGAATGAAACAAAGGTGCAACCAAATGAAACATCAATACTAATACATTGTAATTCCATTGTAACACCTTTTTTTTATTTTTTCATTTTATTTTTTTTTTATTTCTGCATTAAAAAAATATATTGCAATTATGTGTTATGTCACTCTGCAAACACACATAATACAAAATCAAATTAATCTTGATATATCAATTTGAAATGCATTTTGAAAATAAAGAGCTGGTCATCCAGTAATGAAGTGCTTTGACAGATAATAAATTACTATTAAGAGAATAAGAGAAGAGAGATCTTTAATTCTTGTGCCTTATTCCCTGGAGATTAGATAACACACACCTTGATAAGAGATATGCCTTAACAACTTCCAACACCAAACTCATTAATTTATCTTTAACTGGATGCATGTCCAGTCATTATTCCCAAGAGACAAATGAAATTACATTATCTTCTGTGCAATATAAAAACTGTTTTTAACACTTGATGATGTTTCTTTTTTTAAAGTTTTTATAAGTAGTTTTAAGCTGTAGTATTTTTGAACAGATATTCTAGATTCTATATCTCAAACCTTATACATGAGCCCAAAATGAACAAGTCAATTAAAATAAAAAATAAAACCCGTAAAATGCAAAAAAATTAACAAAAAGAGTTGAAAATTCCAGGTGCACACCTTCATCTGGTGAATAATAAGTGTACAAATTTTCAGATTAATCCTTGCAATAGTTTCTGAGAAACGGTCCGGACAAAACCACAAAATAAAAATGAAAAAACACCAGTAAAATTCAAAATAATAATCGAATCAAGATGAAAATATCAGGTGCACAACTTCATATAGTGAATAATATGTGTACAAATTTTCAGACAAATCCTTCCAATAGTTTCTGAGTAATGGACCGGACAAAATCTCGTCTACAGACAGACAGACGGACAGACGGACATGGTGATTCCAATATACCCCCCCTAAACTTCGTTTGCGGGGGGTATAAAAAAAATGATTAAACCCAAATAAAACATGCTTATTACTATCAACATGCTGAAGAGACTCTATCAAAACAAGATGATATTATTACAATTTACATGTATATTTCAATAAATATTGGCATAATTCTATACTACCTTAAAAATCTATCAATTCCATTCATCTTTTAGAAAGTCTAATTCATTTTTTTAACTAGGAACCAAAACAGTCCAGAGATACAAGACCCCCACTTTGATAGAAGACTTCTAAACATTGCATAATGATGTAAGAAGTAAATTTTTCGGCCTATGATGTTTAACTAACCTTCCTGGAGCATTATTCTGGTAGCCGCCCCGGCGGTTCTGGTAATTGTTGTAGCCCCCTCTGTTACCTCCGCCCTGATTGTAGCCCCCTCTGTTGTAGGCATTGTAGCCACCTCTGTCACCCATGTCTGAAACACAACAATGGACATCAACAATCATCAGATGAAATTTGGGACCAATGCATTAAAATCAATTGAGTCCCAAAACAATTATTGTAAATTCCTAAATATATGCGTGGAATTAATTATCGGTAATTTCGCGAGAAGCACCACTCGGGAAATAAAATTACAGTCAAACCTGTTTTAAGAGGCCACTCGTGGGAGAATGACAAATTGGCCACATAAGACAGGTGGCCACTTATTCCAGGTTTCAAAGCAATGAATAAAAAATTGCGACCACAGTTGTATATTTATTTTCACACGTCTCCAAATCCAATTTCAACACATTTAAACACTTATAAAGTTTTAAGTCACATGAAATCCTTTTTTTTCCATTTCATTTTACATGAATTTTTTAAAGAAATCTGTTATTTTATTTTTTTTTTTTTTTTGTGTATGTGTGTTGGTAATTTAATTGTACAGCCATATAATTTACATCACAGGAAATCATGAAATGTTCTAACAACTAAGCATTTCCCTTTATGCTGTGTAATTGAAGCTTTTTAATTTTTCTAGATACAAATTTATTTATAAAACATAAAAGGTTAAAACGCGAGACTGACCGCTTGACTTGATAACCTCAGACGAAATTGTTATTAATATGTAGCCTATTGAGTTTATCTGTTTATATCATGAAAATATTTAACAACTTACTTTCGTATGTTAAGAACACAAAAAAATGTTTGTTAACAAATAAATCATTTAATCATATTAATTAAATCATTAAATCCTGACAGAATTCAAATTACACCTGCAATTATTGGTCATTAACTCATTATCAGCTGTTCATGTTTGGCTTCGTATGAGGATACGAGGTCACGTGTCAAACGGAAATCATGTGACAAAACAGACAAAATGGCCGCTGAAAACAGGCGTGTTGAGCGCACGGGACCTAAAAACACTGGCCACTGGCCGCGTTAGACAGGTGGCCGCTTAAATGAGTTAAAATATAGTGAAAAAATGATCGGGCGGGATTGAAACTGGCCGCTCATGGGGAGTGGCCGCTGATTAAAGGTGGCCGTAACAACAGGTGCGACTGTACTCGCTATTATTTTTATGGTGCTAAAAACAATTTAAAATCCCTCGATGAACCATCCAACAGGGTTCGACACTAACATTTTTAGGCTTTGTAGTGCTTCCTTATTTTTTACTAATCTGTGGGCAATTTTACTAGTCCGTCAAAAATATAAATAAATAGAAATAACATTGCAATGTACTTTTCATACTTTTTAGAAATAAACAAAGCATTTACATGAAATATTTTATACCAAGATTCATTGAAGCTGCGCAATCAGGAACTACGATCCTATTCCCGATCTCTTTCGTTTTTCTATATGATTACATCATCCAAACATCCGACATCTTTCTTTATGTGTCATACTAAATCATGATTGTAAAAATGTTTAATTTCATACCAATGAGACCTAAAATTAAGTGCCCAGAATTACCTAACTTCCCGCCAAGAAGCTAAAAATATATACAGGGTTTTCCAGTGAAAGTTGTAGAGAATTGAACATCATTAAATTCTTTTTTTCTCCCCCAGAAAACTTTATTAGTCCATTCAGACTTATAAGCCACAAAATTTATTAGTCCGAATGAAAATGTATTAGTCTGAAACTAACGTTAATGTCGAACCCTGTCCAATTGCATATCATTATTCTTGCGTTTTGAAGAAGCATTTCGCGATAAAAAGTACTCGGTACTCGCGAATAATAAGGAATCTACAGTACTTCTGACTGTATTTGACACTTACTGGGCTGACTGAAGCTCTGGGGAGGACCCCCGTTCATGTATCCTCCACGCCCCTGATTATATCCTCCCCTGTTAAAGCCTCCATCTGAAACCAGAAAATCATGTGATGTACACACTGCAAAAATAGTATGCAAGCTGTTCTTGAAAATAAATTATGGCACTTTGTAAAGATTTTCTCGAATTCCCAGGGCAAAAATTTAAAACAATTTATGTCTAAACTTAATGCAATGTGACCTATTAAACTATTCAAATATTACCACTTTGGTATCGCAGATTCATTCAACACCACGAAGATCATTAATTAGAAATGAAAAAAATGAAGGTAAAAGCCTTGTAATCATTATTTGTACAAATATTTGGTTCATCCTGTTAGAATACAATATTTTTTTCTTAAAAAAAATAAATAAATAGACTTAGAAAATACTATAAAGATCTAGATTTGTAAAGGAAAATTAAAGAAACAATATACACTTCACCTGAAACTACAATTTCTTAGAAAATAATTTACAAGTAATGTACATACACTCTAGCCCAAATAAATCATCTATGATTAGAGAAACTAAAGAGAATTGTTAATCCATTAGTAATTTATGATAAACTTCTAAGAAGATTTTTATTTTACCTCTGCCCCCTCTATTATCAGGCAGTGGGGGTGGGGGGTAATTTGGCACCATTCCCATGGGAGGGGGAGCAGGAGCCCCTGGGGCATTCCTCATGTGAGGAGGCACATAGCGCTGACCCTGTTGCCCTTGGTTACCCTGACCTGAAAAAGATGCACTGAGATAAATCTTCCATTCTCAAACTTTCTTCCACAACATCAAGCATTTTTTATAAATCGCATGACATTAATTAATTAAGTAATATGACAACAATTAAACCATGCAATATGAACAATACTGCAGTGATAAGCAAAAATGTACTACTTCAGAGCATAACCAATGAAAAATAAAATTCATAAAAGATGCAGACAGATTTGGGATGTGATGGGATATCCTATATAATTCAATCCTTTATCTATGAAGTACTTCCTTTTATTTCGGAAAACCTGAACCCCTAAATTGTTCAGTTCTTTGACAAAGCATTAGCCCAGTTGCTAGTTCAGTTGTGTTTTCCTCATAAGGAACCGGTGTGAGTGTACTTTTTGACTTACATATATTTTACTACTAATCCTGATTTATGTTTAACATTACATGTATCTCTATGAAATGATAATGAACTTTGAATAATCATTGTTCAAACATGAGGGATAATGGTTTATTTCAAAGGAAAATGATTATTTGGGACCCATCACTTTCAAGATATGAATGTTTTAAGATAAGAAAAAAATAAAAACATAGATCATGCTAAAGCTAAGATAAACTACAGTATGAATCAGGATAAAATGTTCCACCTCGTCAACAGGTATTCTTTATAAATTAGTCAACACAGGTAAACCCACTAATTGTGCATTACAGCAACTATCACCATCATCATGATCATAGCCAAATAACTAAATCAATCATTTCAGGCATTTTTCTTTGAAATACCTTTAATAAAAAAAAAATTTTTTTTTTTTTTTAAATTTAAGCAAAGTCCTGTGAGTCTGACTCCCTATTTACTATGGCTGCAATTGCCAGGCCTAGTGCATTAACAGCACCAAGATAATTAAGTTCACCTAGGCAATTTAAACTTTGCCAGTGCAGTCACATATCGGTATTAGAAACCTATTCAACCATTTGAAACAGGGCAGATTTTGTCACTTAAAAGTAACAATATTTGTATTATTTTGGCAAATGCACGATTTGGACAAATAAGTATCAAATTTGGTTATTTACCACTCTCCTTTCATAAAATTACCAGTTGGAATATCATAACGTAATTTTAGTGCTTAAAATTAAGCATTTCTGATTGCAGATAACTCTATATTTATGGATTATGAAACTCGAAATAGACGAGTTGAACTCTGACAATCCTGAACATACTGTGGTCGTACAGAGAAAAATACGACACCTGGCATGTAGAACATTTGTTCCTGAAATCTTGGGTTTGCGCTGTTTGGTCGATAATTTCGTCCATCTACAAATCAAAGTTAACTATCAACATTTTCTGTGAACTTGGAATTAAAACAAAACAGAATAATCATTCAGATCAATGTTTTGAATCAATTTGTAGGTCCCGATATGTCGAATGATTTGTGTTCCAATTTTATCAACTAAGTATTGGACTATACTTGTAAGGTTTGTTTGTGACTGTCTACAGAAAAATATCAGATTGATCATACTCATAGATGCAAGGCAGTTATCTATAAGATGGATTTACCCAATATATTTCTATTGACTATTCAGGGTGTCATCTATATAGATGAGTATAAAGACTTCATTTCCAGACTAAGATATACTGCCAGCAGTCATGTTTAAGCCAATGAAACTGCTAGATTTAAGTGTAAGGGTAAAATTCATGTACATTTGTTACTGCAAACAACCCTCCCAACAAAATACAGACATTGAAAACTTTTTTAGTGTTAACATGGTAAAAGTAACCATAAAATATGAGTAATTTTATTTTTACATAAATCTCACTCAGACCTGTTTGCATTCTAAGATGTATCGTGTGTATGACCAGTACACAAAAATTCCTACTCACTGAAAATCAAATCTTAAATCCTTCCATAGAGAAACCACTTTCCATATACATTGTATAACAAATATATAAAGCACATGCAAATCTTTTTTCTCTGTTCCCCGTATCACACCAAAAATGACAAACCCATTATTACCACATTTCCATATATGCTTTCTTTTCCTACTATTTCTAATTTTAGAAATTATTGCCTGTACTTGAAATGTTAGTGAAAATGTTATAATTATATAAAATCATGCTCCGCACTGTTTTCTTGAGTGTCTGTGTGTTCATGTATGAGGATGGGTGTTAAGGTTAATTTTCTATTATCACTGTTCACAATGGATTGAAAAGGAGTATAAACCAAACCAGGAACATTGCAACTTTTTAGTGGTACACTTTCACTCAACGAATGAATGAGTGGGATTATACGAAATTGTTAAATATTTTGTCACTGTCACTTCATCCCAAGACAGTCAGCTGCAATTAGAGGCAGTGCCTCTATATAGTCCAACTTTTAAAATGTTGACATGAACCAACTCTTATGGAGATGAACTACCAGTCAACAATGCCAAAGAAAACTATGGGAAATTGTTTTTCTTCCATATAACCAAGACAGAGATGAAAGTGTCAAAATTGGATTGTACACAGGTCCTCCTCCATAATCCACAGAAAATAATCAACTGCAAAATTGCTAAATCCTGATAAACAAAATATAACTTACCTTTGCCACTGTATGGTCTTCCACCAGATCCTAAGTCTAAACCAGCAAACTATAAAAGAAAAGCTTATTATACAACAAGTTTCTTTTTTGGGGGTAGGGGGAGGGGGTCTCTGCCATGTGGACCTTTCATCTGTCTTTAAGTTTATATGAGGTTAAGGGGGTCTCCCTGCCATATCAATGTTCACCAATACGTTATGTGAGGGTATGGATTTATCTCTGCATGTCAACCTGTACACGAAGTCTGCATGTCCTGCCCTTCCCATTATCCTTTTTGTTAATGTTATCTAAAGAATGTTTTTGTTTTTTCCCCCAAAGGATTTATGTTTTATTATATTTTAATGGAAGTCATCAATGCCCTTTTTGGTCAATTTGGAATGGGCAGGGCTATAGGCATTGATGTCATCAAGTTATATGCACAGTTAAAAACAAGTCTTTGCTCTCTGAAAAGGATTTTTATAAAATAAAGTAGTATAAAACCATAGAAAGCATGGACTGTTGTACCTCATTGAAGGGATAAATATATGTACAAGGTAGGCAGCAGAGGATCCAGGAATTTCATAACAGGAGGTAGTAAAAGTTCAGGGGTTTGGGGGCTGCATGGAAGCCCCCTGGAATAGGGTTCGTTCACCCGACCTACCTGTTCGCAGGAGTCTGTTCGCTCAGAGTCCATTCGCCCGAAATATTGTTCGCCCAATATTTATATATATACTATATGATTTAAATATTATAACATGTATTATTTATTCTATTTTTAAACGGGAGGGTGCACGGCTGGCGCGCCCACCCTGGATCCGCCTTTGGTAGGGGTTACTAGAAATGTCATAGACTGTTTCACGATAACTGCAGAACTGCTCTTTTGTCAGGTCCAGTCCAAAAACTATTTCTACCTACGTAGCTATTAAGTTACGTAACTATTTAAACCTACCCAAAGTAGCTATTTTTACCTACTTTTTATATTTTCTGCAATTTGCGATCAAAAGACCAAACGGCGCAACATGGCGAATACCATATCTTTTGATACAGTCACACCAATGATTAATACAACAAAATTTGGGCCAAAAAATGATTACTTCCTGAATCGGCAATTTTACATTAGTTTCTAAGCAAAATTAATAATATACGAAGTTATCATTTTTTGACCAAATTTTTGTCATATCAATCATCAGTGTGACTGTATCAAGAAATTTTGTGTTCACCATGTCGCGCCGTTCCTGCATTTGGCCACCAAATGCAAATAAAGCAGAAAGTAGGTAAAAATAGCTACCTTGGGTAGCTTTAAATACCTAGGTAGCTATTAATAGCTACGTAGGTAGAAATAGTCTTTGGACTTGACCTGTTTGTGTGGCAAAATAAATTTTGGTGAAAATGATGTAAAAACAATTGTTAATATATGTCATTTAATTATCTGTCAACAAAAACTTCACCAAATGTTATTAAGTTGTCCTGCAAAAGAGCAGTGATGCAGTTATCCAGCAGGATTGAATGCATGCCATAAACATAATTTCCACTCAAAAAAAAAATTGTGATTTGAATTGTTCTGTTCTGTGCAAGATCATAGTAGTAGAATTTGTGTGATTTACTACTTTCATTTTTAATTTTATAAAGAAAAGCAGGTTTGAGGCCGCATTTCCAAAAAAAAAAAAAAATAGAGTTACTGTTCCTGATCAGCTGATTTTGTACAACGGACATCAAATAGATATTGATAGGAAAACTTCTAATTCTTTTTAATGAGTTTTTAGATGATTAGTTTACATATTTCTTCGAATTTATTATAGTAATTTGTCAATTTGAAACAGAAAATGTCATTTCTTTCTGAACATTGTGGTCGTCGCCATTTTGGATCGACCGGGAGAGAAGAATTTTATCTTTGCCTCTGTCGTTTTAAATGACCAAAAAAATATGGCAAAATTCACTTAAAGGCCTTTCTTTGTAACCCATTTAACTAACTAACCTGCTGCTCTAGACCTTGACCATTTTGATTATGAACATTTGACATCATAAGTCCACTCTTTCTTCCACAAGAAAACTGTGTTGGGAGAGCCAATCAACGAGAGCCTGTGTCAGTTTATATATCTGAGCTAATGATCACGTGACATAGTGTCATTACTTTCGCTTTCTGCGTGAAAGAGAAACAAGAGGCCCACGGGCTAAATTGCTCACGCGAGTCACTCTGGTCATACTGTTATTTTTTTCCACACATTTTCCCCATGTTTATAAATACGTAAAACTTTGAACTCCTATCGAGGCCTCACCCTACCTCCGAGGGGGAACTTGAGGATAGTATCTTATCGGCCTAAGAATATTTTAAGCTCACTCAGGGACCTATTGGCTATATACTTAGTATGTAGGTCCCTGGCTCACCTGTTTCAGTCGTCCATTTGTCTGTTCGTTTGTCTGTAAACTTTCCAAATTTTCGCCTTCACCATTCCCAAGAACACAGGACCAAAAAGCATCTCTGGGTGAAGTGACGAGCGAAATTGTTCTACATTTGAAATGAAGTGTCATATATGCCTTTTTTTCACGGGGATTTAAATCAAGAATTACTGAAAGTTATTAAAACAAATCTTTTTATTAACAATTAGTAGACTAAAGTTAAAGTTTAAGTTAAACCATATTAACACTGATAAATGTGGAAGCTTAATTAAAAATTTCTATTCAATTTGTTGAAATAAAGGGGTATGATGGGCCCACACTAGCAATCACACATTATAAAGGAATGTGCTTAAGAAAAAAAATTCTTCAAAAATCTTTATCTCAGGTATGAACAGCAGAGCCATAATTAGCTATTTTCATAAGAGAGCAGTCTCAAGTATATAATGTTATTCAAAATTTGTTCAAATAGTGACCGCCAGGAATAGGGTGAAGTCATTACTGACAGCCAAAGTTTTGCTATGGGAAAAAATCTTTTTTTAAAAAATCCTGTCAGAACAGCAATTAACGCTATTTTTAGTCAAAGTTTTATGGAAGCATTGTTACAACGCACTTTGAAAAAAATTTCAATGTTCATTAAATTTGAGACAAAGTTAGCGCACTTTGAAAAACAAATATTTCTTTTCAAAGTGCGTTATTATTGGCCAATGTTGTTCTAGCAAATGCCTATATTAGTATTAGGTATATTTTTCTAAAAAAAAAAAAAAAAAAAAAAAAAAAAAAAAAAAATGGGGGGGGGGGGGTGAGCCCCACTACCACCCCCCCAGTTCCAACGCCTACTGTAGGTATGATGGCAATCTCAGTCAAAATAATTTGTTTCATACATATTTTTTTTTCAAAGTGCGTTAAGTGTCTCTATGGTTTAAAATGTTAATGTACACTCTTAACGCAATTTGATTTTTTTTTCAAAGTGCGTTGTTTTTGCCCAAAATTTAATACACTTTGACTTTTTTTTTCAAAGTGCGTTGATTTTGTCCCAATTTTAACGCACTTTAAAAAAATTTTGAAAGTGCGTTATTTTTTAAAAGTGCGTTGCCACAAAGCATCATCAGGAAGTATAGTTTAGGTTCAAGTTTGTTCATATCACTGATTACATCCAGGACTTGGGTCCGTGTAACACTTTTTAAAAACAATTCAAAATTCTAAAACGATTATGAGATGTTATTGTATATTGTTTAATATTTAAGTTCATGTGCCATAATTGGCAAGATGAATGCCCTGAGACCATTGCGACTCTCCAATCATTTCATCTCTTATATCGCAAACAAAACGGAACCACTTGAAAGGCTTAAACGTTTCTTGTAGTATCTAGTTGCGTTTATGTACGTCAAAAAAAAAAAAAAACTGGCATAAGGAATTTAGTGCTTAGTGCTCGTAGCAGTGCCATTACCTTGAATGTAATGTTCTCATATACTGATATAAATAGACAATTATTACGTTTGTGAATATTTCAAAGGGGCATGGCGAAGGACTCGGTGAAGGAATTTGAATGAATCATCCGCCATTCAGCATTCAGTCACCTTCCACTAGACTTTAAGTTAATTTTAGTGAACTGAATGACAGGGTTTCATGTTAGAACTTTTTAGTGAACTGAATGACAGGGTTTCATGTTAGATGTAGAGTCCATAGTATATTGGAGGGTATTAGAAGGCCAGTGAGGTGTCTCGTAAATGTTGTCTTTGGTGTCCTTGAGATAGGATGGTAAGCATATTTGCGGACGGGTATGTACCCGGTAAACCGATGCATTCAGGAATGTTCTCAGTGGCGTGCCCTTGGCATACCTGTTTTGTTTATCCTGGGAATAAAGATCAAATTGTCTTGGTACTTAGAAAGTACTAATATACTAATGTATTTTAACCATTGAAACGATATTCCCAAGAAATTAAATAAGAGCTTTGAAGCATAAATTACACCTGCTCTGTGTGTTTTGTTAAACTTGTCGAATTATCCTAAATTTATATCAATTTTCAGTGTTTCGATTAAACAAAATTATAGATTTAGAGAATTAAACGCATGTGGATTGATAAAATTGAGAAGAAAACGGTTTCTATAATAATAGAGCTCATAAAACAAACTAATATCCCCATTGCAACGGCGTGGTTGTCATGAGATTTGCAGGAGTTTTTATAAATAACACCTAAATTGTGTGATAAATATCTTTATATCTTTTTCAAAGATGTTTTAAAATTACTAATCTAGAATCCGTGTGTATCATTGCATGTTAACCATGATCTAAAATTTATTAGTAATTAGTTTATATCATATTTATTTATTTATTATTCTTTGTAGTTCCATTCTGTGTGGCACTACGCGAACACTTCACTCAGAAAATATGGTGTTTGATAGGATTACTTCTCCTTATGTACACCCGGAGAAGCTGTTCCAGAACAGATCACCAAAAACGGTCGGGTTCAAGTCTCAGAGAAAGCGGCATGATGTTTAAGGTCAGTATGTTGTCATTGGAAGTCATAAATCTTAAGCAGCTTCCATTAATAACGTTAATGGTAATCTAACAACCAAGCTCTATGATAAATGTGATGACTTTAACTTTTCTATCGTCAACTTCACTTACTTATGCAGCAATGTACCTTCATCACCTGCATACGGAATTAATATATATCTCATTTGATTCGATACGCAAGAGCATGCTCTACGTATGAACAATTTCTACAAGGAGGTAAATTAATTACAAACAAGTTGATGAAACAAGAATATCAGCAGTCTCGTTTAAAGTCATCATTTCATAAGTTCTATGGTCGATACAATGACCTTGTCAGCAAATACAATTTGTCATTGAGTCAAATGCTGATGATGTTTTTCATACTAATTATTAGTCCGTTATTTATACACTAAATTGAGGACGGATTTTTCCGTTATTTTCCGATCATGACAAGGAGCACGCGGCGGATGTGACTGCTCGGCAGGGAATGCTCACTCCTCCATGGCACCTGATCCCACCTCTGATGTTTTGGAGGTCCGTGTTTGCTCTGCTCCTATTTTGTATTGTTTTACGGACTTTTGATATTGAATACTGTTCGTTATCTTCATATGTTTCATTCCAATAAATTTGAACGCTTCGGATGTAAAGCATCTTTATAAAATTATTTGTCTGCTCTCTTCCGACCGACTAACCAAAATCGTTTTATGTAACTTATTTTCAGTAAGTGCCAAATCGCAACTGTAAAAGCAATTGATATTTGTTATGTTTTCAATACATACAAGTTTTCTCTACCTTCAGAATTTAAGTCTACATATTATATAAACAAAAAAAGAATTGTCTGCTTTTATTGAATTTTTGATTTTGTGAAGAATCAAGAAAAGATGAATCCGGCGAAATCAACAAAACACAGAGTCCAGAAATAAAATCCTTTTCGAAGAATCAAGAGAAGTAACATCCAGTGTCATCAACATAAAACAAAAGGATCATGGGCCACACCGCTCAACTCAGCATTTTGGTTAGCGAAAAGCAAAAATCAGTTAGGGACTGAAAAAGTTTAAATATAAACTAGCGAAGTGACCCAACCCTACTCTCGAGGGTGATGATTTGAACAGACTTTATACACAGTTTACTATATCTATTATCACTAATATTCCCAAAACTACAAAAGAATTTGTTTTGCAGCAAATAAGAGTGACATGGTGAAGTTATCAAAGAAGCCCAAAGTCACTAAAAAAATATCAAAATTCTTATTCAAAGTAAACCGTAAATACCCGGTATACCTTTTCCCACTATAATGCAAATATCTGAAAGGAAACATAAATACTTGTATAACAACAGAATGTTGACCAATGAATTCCAACAAGCAAATGCAAAGAATATGGTCCCCTAGCTGCGTTTTGTATTAGCGGCTGGGATGCGATGATTTACGGCATACATAAATTGTAACTGACTTGTTTGTGTGTCCTGTCATGTTTATCTATCATACAAAAAAGATATGTTTTTGAATAAATAAAAGTTAAATTTTTGCATGATTCTTTTTTTTCAAAACTGCAATAATCTTCAAAATCGAGGCTAGGAGGTCAAATATCATAATACAATTGGTTATGTGTTGTCACAAATAATGCACCAAGATTATATGAAAGAACATCACTCACCTGAGCTCTGGCTATGTAAAACTATAAGGAAAAAAATCAGTTCAGTATTGAAAAATTTAAATATCAAACAGGGTTCAAGTGGGATCATGATTTGAACAAACTTGAATCTACACCACAGGATGCTTCCATATAACTATGACCAATTATGGCTTTGCTGTTCTTGAGAAGATTAATTATAGATTTTCCCTATGTATTCCTATGTTAAACTTTGAACCCTGACCCCCCCCCCATCATGGCCCAAACCCTAACCCTGGGGTCAAGATTTGAACAAACTTGATTCTACACTACCTGAGGATGCTTCCACATAAGTTTCATCTTTCCTGGCCAAGTGGTTCTTGAGAAGAAGATTTTTAAAATATTTTCCCTATGTAATCCTATGTTAAACTTTGACCCCCATCATGGCCCCATCATACCCCTTGTGGTCATGATTTGAACAAACTTGATTCTACACTATATGAGGATGCTTCCACATAAGTTTCATCTTTCCTGGCCAAGTGGTTCTTGAGAAGAAGATTTTTAAAGATTTTCCCTATGTATTCCTGTGTCAAATTTTGACCC